AGAGTTCTAGCAGCAGACACATCTAGAACAACTGTTAAGAGGAGACTGTGTGAATCAGGCCTTCATGGTAGAATAGCTGCTAGGAAACCACTGCTAAGGACAGGCAACAAGCAGAAGACACTTGTTTGGGCTAAAGAACACAAGGAATGGACATTAGACCAGTGGAAATCTGTGCTTTGGTCTGATGAGTCCAAATTTGAGATCTTTGGTTCCCACCACGGTGTCTTTGTGCGATGCAGAAAAGGTGAACGGATGGACTCTACATGCTTGGTTCCCACCGTGAAGCATGGAGGAGGAGGTGTGATGGTGTGGGGGTGCTTTGCTGGTGACACTGTTGGGGATTTATTCAAAATTGAAGGCATACTGAACCAGCATGGCTACCACAGCATCTTGCAGCGGCATGCTATTCCATCCGGTTTGCGTTTAGTTGGACCATCATTTATGTTTCAACAGGACCAAACACACCTCCAGGCTGTGTAAGGGCTATTTGACCAAGAAGGAGAGTGAAGGGGTGCTGTGCCAGATGACCTGGCCTCCACAGTCACCGGACCTGAACCCAGTCGAGATGATTTGGGGTGAGCTGGACCGCAGAGTGAAGGCAAAAGGGCCAACAAGTGCTAAGCATCTCTGGGAACTCCTTCAAGACTGTTGGAAGACCATTTCAGGTGACGACCTCTTGAAGCTCATCAAGAGAATGGCAAGAGTGTGCGAAGCAGCAATCAAAGCAAAAGGTGGCTACTTTGAAGAACCAAGAATATAAGACATATTTTCAGTTGTTTTACACTTTGTTGTTAAGTATATATTTCCACATGTGTTAATTCATAGTTTTGATGCCTTCAGTGTGAATCTACAATTTTCATAGTCATGAAAATAAAGAAAACTCTTTGAATGAGAAGGTGTGTCCAAACTTTTGGTCTGTACTGTATATTGATGCTTTTTCTTTCATCTTATTTTCTTTCATTATATAGAACAACTGAAATTCTGCCAGGAAGAAGTCACACTTTACCTGAAGTACATTTAGAGGCATCCCAAAGCTCACTGCACTCAGATCTGTTGTATGTAGATCAATGTCTAGTTTGTTCCTCAGTGGGTTTGTCTTGCCCTGCATTTGGCCCTTCTACAGCATCTTCTACTGAGCATCACTATTTAATTATAGTCGTTTAGCAATGTAAAAATTTCTGAATGAACATAATGCTTGATAGTCACAGATTTAAATCAAAGTGACCAAAATTTAAAATATAAAATGCTGAAGCAGTAAACAAATAAACCAAAAAGTCAAAACCTATAAAAAAGTTTTGTTATTCTGATTTCAACTATTATTTCTAACTTGTGATTTTAAAAGAGAGTAAGAAAAAGTAATTATTAATTTATTAAATACATAATAAATTGAGTTCATTATTGCATCCTTCAAATTTAAAACTCTACCGTCCCGTGAAACCCATGTATTTCTAAAATGTCACCTTTTTCTGCGGCTAAGAAATGTGACACTCATTATAACAACATATTATTTAGAAAATCTGCTCACTGTTACCATTTTTGTGTTTGCTATTTTCATAAGCCAATTTCTTGATAAAAGTTAAAAATTATTATAATTGGAAATAAATGGTTTTCATTTGACACTAAGTAATCAGTTTATAATTTTGAATTAGCTAGTTAACTATTAAGTTTGGCATTAATATTACGATCTTTTCAAATAATTTCTTTCAGTAAATTAAAGAATCTGTAATTACTCTCTTGCACACTTCAGATTCCACTCCGTAGGATGGAAAAATAATGTCCAGCTGACTTATTTATTTCTTTTACTAAAAACATTCTGCAAGGTACACATACACAACACATGTCAGAATTAGTGACAAAGAGTAACGTGGGGTTTATCTACATGGAATGGAGGAGTGTCTGTCCAGATCCATGTACTGCCAGGACACACTGCCTGTTGTAGTATGTCTGGTGGCTATCAGACAGCCACCAGGCTGTACCCAGACTCTGAGCCAGTCTGCAGTCTCTCCTGAACCACGGTTACTAAACTACTCTCCCACTAGGCCTCTAACCACGACTGTATGTCACATCAAGCAGTATTCTTCTCTGTGCATGTCAGGGCATCACCTAGCAAAGGACTCGAGTAAGTCAGACTCATATGAGAAATGTTCATAGCCTTTGTATATGTCATGTATTCAAAACATTTCACAATGTATTCTAAAATGGCTATTTTTCTACATTATAAATAATAAAAATTAAAAATCATCTTTTGTCTGCCTTTGGTAGATATGCAGTTATTTATTTTCCATCCTTGAGTCTATGATTCTCTCTGTCTCCTTCCTCTCTGACCCTCTTCAATGTTTTATACAATGATCAGCCACAGCATTAAAAAAGTGAACACTGATCATTTGTTTCGATCTCATGTTCTACTGGGAAACATGGGTCCTGACATCCATTTGGGTCCATTTAGGATCCACTGCCAGCCTCCACGAGACAGATCTGACAGGACACCCGCATGAACACAGCATTGACAATGACTCTAATGACACTACAATGGTTGGATGAATGACAGGAACCCACTGTGAGAGAAAATAACTTTCATTTCAATGTTGGAAAAACTTATTTAAGTAATTTAATTTCTTGGTATAGTAATTCCTGGTAACCATAGTCACATTACTACATCTTTAAAAGGCTTGTCAATTAATATAATATTATTTGAAGACACTAAATAAGTATAGCGTGAAGGGAAGCATTACAGGTGTGGAAGCTTCCTCTATCACAGTTCAGTTTGGAAGTCTGGCTACTGCCAGAACAATACCATTTAAGTTGAGGTTCACCAGACTGCTCTGACAATAGGAATATCCAAGATGAGACAAGGACCATACATGAATACATAAAGCAGAGGGCCCCTTAGGATGACCTGCTCAGGCAAAGAGGAGGACGAAGAGGAAATGTCATTAGAGACCAAGCAGCTTCATGGGATGTACTGTATCATCAGCAGACAGAGGAGGTTGTTGACACCAAAGGTTCTACCAGTGGCTAGAAAAGGCCCGTCTGAGGTACACCACAGAGGCTGTGATCATGGCAGCACAAGAACAAGCCCTAAGTACCAGAGTTCTACCACATCAGACAGGACCCAATGTTCAGATGGTGCAAAGAGCTAAATAGAATAGAATAGAATAGAATAGAATAGAATAGAATAGAATAGAATAGAATAGAATAGAAGCTAATTCTGTCTCATCCTGTCATAAATCAGATCTGTAAAATAGACATAACAGACTTAATTTTTAAAGAGCCTTGAGTCCCAGAACACAGTGTGATGTCCCCATTACTGCGCCATCCCACAAGTTATCGTAATAATGGAATCACATTGTGATCTTTATCTTACTACCCATGTACAATAGCCAAAGACATTAGTGACGCAAATAATACATTCTTTTTTGATGATATGATAGCTACAGATCTTTGCTTGTTTACAGTTTTTTGGACAAGGTGTGAAACATTGCATAGTTTAGTGTAACGGGATGATAAACAGTGTATGTTTCTCATTCTATGCAGAAAATATGGAATCTTTTACTTATACTGGTTAATATTCCAACCACTGCTACTGCAGCGGTCACAGTTCTGCATATTTCTGAAGAAGTTTCAAATGAACCAGCAGGACTGTTAACTCCACAACCAGCATCCCCACCGTGAACAGGTGACACACATGACCAGCTGGTTCAGTGTAGTGCATGTTCTTTAAGGAGTGCATGTTCTTTAAGGCAGCTGTATGAGGGGACAGGCGTGTGTTCTCAGAACAAAGTGTACTACTGGTAGTAATGCCACAGTAGTCCAACTGTCTGAGCTCAAAGTCAATTAACCTCAATAGACCTGCACATACAGAAAGGGGAACCTGCCACCTTTTGGAAGAAAGCATTTGTCACACATGACACCAATCCTGGACATAAACCAAACTCCATTTACTGCACCAATACTGCACCAGCTGGTATTTGATTTGTGTGTTCACGCTGGGGGAAAAAAGAGCACATGTCCACTAAATACACTGGATCTCTCAATGAATAAAATAAAACACAAACAATTTTATTTAGTAGGTGTGGTGTCATATTTTATTTGATCTTTTAATGAATTCAGCGTGCACTGAATACTTGTTCTGAACAATAGAGAGTGCCCTGCCACTTCAGAATAACTCATTGTCTGTAAGCATAAGATTAGCTGGACGTGCTTTGAGCAAAACAGACAATCTTGTGTGGAGAAAACAGAAAGTGTTTGAACTGATCTGAAGAAAAAAATTCTACATATCAGCAGCAACAGCAGAAGACACAGTTGCAGCTAGAATCACAAAACGTCTTTCTCATTCACTTTGCTCTACAATTTCACATTTATCACAAATGACAATGTCAATTAAAATAAAATTAAACTGAGATGAAAACAGAGACTAACAGTTCTGATTGAAAAAGACTCGCCAATGGTGGAGGTAACCTGAGCTTCATTTTATTGTTGTTAAACTACTAGTTAGATTATCACCACACATCAAATTCAAATATTCAAACCGTATTATCTGATAACACAAAAACGAATACAGTTGTTAACGATAAATAAAGGCTTACTGACACTTTACTGACATGAGGTGGGTGGATTTTGCACATTTTGCAGCATTTTAATACAGATCGGGGTTATTTTACTGTTTGGGTAATTGTACCTGCAGCAGTTCTTGGTAAAGGAAGCATGTGGCAGCGAGCAGCGACTCTCCGTCCGACCTGTTCCCTCCAGGGGGCGCTCCTCCTGCAGCGGTCGCGCACTCATCTGAGCCTTCGGGCTTGCCGTAATGTTGTGCAACATTTAGCGCCAATTTGATGTTAACCCGAGTAAACGGAGAGGAGAGCCGCCCGTGGCTCTAGCTCTTTTAAGACATCTGCCGACAGGTCGTTTGGTTTTCTGAAGGCGGCAGCAGCACATGGAGACAGAAGCTGCGGAGGCTGTTTCCGGGTAACAGAACCGAACCCCAGGAGAGCAGGCACACCAGCACGGCTAGGACGCAGGGACAATGGTAAGGAGGCAGAATTAGCGCGCATTATCTCTGTACAGACAGCTTTACTCACTGTGATGTCCACAGAGGAGGAGTCGTGCTCCCAGCCAGGTCGCTAAGCGGCGACAAGCAGAAGGTTCCGGGGTGGACGGAGAGTGGACCGGCCCATCAGTAAGTAGCTCAGCATGACAGGGCCTCCACCGGCCTTCACCATCCTCTGATCTGGAACAGCTTCATCCCAGTCACCTAGTGCTGTTTACTTCAAGAGAAGAGTCTTTTCTAAACGTGAAGGTTTTATTCTCCTCTTTGCTGCTTCTGGATGTTTAACTCTTGCAGCCTGCTGAGTCTCTGCCTTCAAACATATGTTTCACTGGAGAACGGCACTAGATGCATTTCTTAACAACACCAAGCTTTCTTTCCTCGTGGAAAATAAGGCTTCACGGTATAACGATATGTTTCGTCTAAACGACAGAAAAATTAGATTGGGAAACATGAGCTCTATCGTTTCTACCGCGGTTTCGCAAAAAAACACACTTAGTGTGTGCAGTGCTTTACGTCGTGACGCTCCACATATGGCATGCCCACAGGCGCTGCTGCCACTGTGAAAAACACAAACAAGCATGGAGGAGCCGGGTGTTTGTGGTGAAACAGAGGACAACTGTCGTGCATCAAACGCAGACTAGCTAACGCAGACGGAGGAGCTGCTGCCGAAACGGGGGTCAACGTCGGTTGTGTGGTCGTGGTTTGGTTTTAAAAGGAGCGACACGGAGCAGACCGCTGTAGTTTGTAAAGTATGTCGCCGCCATGTCGCTACAACTGACTCAAACGCAACGAACCTCTTTTATCATTTGCGGAAAAACCATCAAAAAGAATATGATGAAAGTCAGCGTTTGAAGGCAGCTAAGGTCCACCTCCGCTGTCACTGCTTGGAAGAAAAACGTCAGCGAGACGCAGCAGCCAAATGGGTCCATTTGTACTGTCAGACACTGAGTTAAGGAGAGACCTTGAAATATAAAAGTTTGAGAATCTGTAGAAGTCTGAGATTCAGAAACACAACGTAAACAGTTTATAAAATTTGACATTGTCAGATTTTTTTTTTTTTTGGATGTTTTCATATCCATGTTACTTGAAGTAGTTTTGTATGTTTTTTTTGTATACCTTGCAGAATATATTGTGAAATTTTTGCAGCCACACTTTAAACACTTTACATTTGGTGTTTTGGAACCAATATTTATTTTAAGAGCTGTTTGCTGCTAACATTAATGGCAATGTTAAGCCTTCCTTAGGCTGGCTTCATAGAAATATTTAGTTACTCAAAAGCCTACATTACATGCTGATGTCATGTGAATGAGCTAGCCTGTGGAATGTATGGATGTTCATTTCATTATTAAATCTTGTGTAACTAATTGTTGTTTACACAAATGCTGAATTATTGAAAAGTATTTTCAATATTTTTCAGAGGGTTCTAAATAAAAGAAGTCTTGTTTAGTAACGTAACTTGTTGAATATATCATTTAAACTACATTTCCACATGGCAATTTTATATAAACTATGCATTAATTGAATTTACAAAAAATTTACTATATCGTGATGTATATCATATCGGGATATGACCAAAATCTCATATCGTGCAGCCCTAGTGGAAAATAGAGAAAACTAAATGGCTTTATGAGTAAAAATGCCAATGAGTGAGCGTTGTGATGGTGTGGTTGAACTGAAAAGTGCATTACACTTTTTCACAGGATAAAAGAAGAAAAAGTGACAATGAGAAGAGAGAAAGCCATATTTGTCCCTTCAGAAAGCCTCTGACCCAGCTGAATAACCGGCCTGCATGTATGGATGGTGACAAACATGTAAGCCTTGTTGAGCTCAGGTTCTGGTCTGTCAGATTGGGTCTTTGCAGACATGTTTGTATGTGAATACATTAATGGGTGCAGCTTGATGACATGCTTTGATTTGTTGAAAAACTTGTCCTACAGGAGGCATTTATTCGAAGTATCCTCTCCCAGCCATTTAAAATTCCTATTCCAAATTATACAGGTAACATTATTTTTCTCACTGTGGCTCATCTGTCCTGTCAAGTTGAATAGGTAAAGAAGGATTGCTGTCTTGATGAATTATTACCCACAGGCTCACTGGGAATCAGGGCACTAGGTCTGAAGCGTGCAGGAGCAAGGAAAGCACTTCATGATCCCTTTGCAGAAGATGCCTTGGTCCTTTATGAGCCTCCAGCTCTAAGTGCTCACGACCTGATCAAAGCTGATAAGTAGGTTCAGAACGTATGGGACTTTTTCGACGTTATATCGTCTTTACCTTGATTTCCCCAGATTTTTTGTGAGTTAAAGCATTTCTACTTAGGTGATTCAAATAGAAATGGGAAACTGATTGAAAACCAGTACTTACTAGTTGTACTTACTAGTTGTACTAGCAGAAAGTCAGATTTTGACTCCTGTCCTTTCTGTGTGGAGACTTCCCACAAGTATGCAGAAGCTACAGCAGAATATATATTTAAAAAATCCATAAATTCATGGTAATATTTTGTAATCAAGTTATCCTGACCAAATACATGCATGTGTAGACAAACTGTTTGTCATGCAGCTGTAGGGACTGTGTAACTGCCAGGGAGCTGGGAGTGTTTATGTCTAGAAAGCAGCATTTGACAAGACCTCTCCTTACAGAGAAAGACTACCAGTCCATGTTGTTGTGGATCCAGTCCTTGGAAAAGTGCTCAGACCCCATCAGAGAGAGGTAAACCAAAGGTTTTCTTTTCAAAAATGTACTGGCCCAAATAAATAAATAATTTAAAAAAAACAGTAAAAAATCTGAAATGTCCATAATCATCACAATAGCATTAAACAGTCGAGATGAAGAATGTTACGTCACCGAATCTGTGCAGAAATTTCAAATGGATGAAACCATACTTTCTTAATGGTAGATCAACAAAACAAACTTCAATCAAAACCAATTTACCCTTTCAGATATCCGGACACATGTACATGGGCGTGGCGTCTGATCAGAGATACTGATCAGACGCCACGCCAGCATCCCTTGAAGCCTCCGACCGGGCAGCTTTCAGTCAAACGTGGTGCCCAAGTCGCACAAATACTTCTCACTTCCTGCTGGACAGAGTTTGGATTCAAAATTTCCTCCTTCAAGGCTGAGCTACACAGATGATCACAAAACCACGTCAGAGGTTGCCTACCCGAGTCGACGCTCTCGGTTCGGTCAGCCCATGCGCTCCTCCAGAGCCATGATGCCTATGTGCTGGCTGGACACCTTGATATGTCTGGATATCTGCAAAGGTACACCTGACGTAACTTTCCTCATCTACAAGTCAACAGGGGACGTCCCCGTGCAGGCCAACATTTGTGACCAGTGGAGCATTTGCACTCCAAGTGCACCAACTGCACATGTGCAAAGAAAGCAAATCCTTGTTATGAGGAGAGACTGAGCCAGAAGATGCTCTGTCATCCTCACCGTTACAATTCATTATTAACAGAGTTGTCGTTGAAGTAGTCGCTACTGAACTTTGGAAGTGCTTTGATTTTTCGTGGTCTCCATCAACTGTGTCCAAACGTGGTGGGGTTCTAAATGCCACCTCAGAAACATTCACGTTGACCTAGTGCTTCAGTCGCTGCTATAGTCTGTGAAAAGTGCAATGTTACAGTCTTTCAGAAACCTCCATGTGTGTTCCTGTGTTTGATATGAGGGACAGTATGTGGCAGACTGGACTATTTTTCAGTCTTAATCTTTAATATGCGAAGAAGACCATGAAGTTAGTGAATCCTAGGTTCTTTTCTTTTCTTCAAATTACAGTGCATATCTTTCATTTCTTTAGGGGGTGAAGTTCCTGTGGGAGTGTGTGACAGGCCGACGCATCCCAGAATCGTATGGCTGCATCATGGCCGATGAGATGGGCCTGGGAAAGACTTTGCAATGTATCGCCCTCATGTGGACTCTGCTACGCCAAAGCCCTGATGCTAAGCCAGAGATAGACAAAGCCATTGTGGTTTCACCTTCTAGTCTGGTGCGCAACTGGTATAATGAAGTAGGAAAGTGGCTGGGAGGACGCGTTACACCGGTGGCTATTGACGGAGGTTCAAAAGAGGAAATTGATAGACAACTAGGTAGTTAATTTTCCCTTCTGTCACATTGTAAATATCTCAAGCAAATTTCCTGGAAATACTTTTCCATGTTGGTTAGTTTGAAACTTTAGCCTCATTGTTGGCATAGAGTAAATGTGAGTATATCAACTTGAAGGAGAAGGAGCAGAGAGATTTCTTTTTTAAATTTAGACCTCCACTTTATTTAGACAACACTTTGCTGAATCAAAGCCCAACACTGTCTAATCAGTTATTTTCAAGAATATTTGATTAAATATCTGATGCACTGAACCTCTTCTTTCCCAATACTCTGAATAGGAGTCAGTTGCTGCCTGGCCAGTTATTGGATTTAACATTTATGATATTATTGTTTTTATTTTTCTAGCCAAGTCTCATAAAAATACATGGATTTAAAAAGGTGCTCCTCTGGCTCTGATGTAGCCGCCTCTCTCCACCTGTAGTCTCCAGTCTGTGGTCTCAGCAGCGTCCCAGTCTAAGCACTGCCTGGTTGGTTCCACCTCGTGAGGAACAGCCGATCAGCACTGAAGGATCAATGTTGAGAAGCCTGTTTTTCATTAGATTTCAGATTCAGATTCAGATTTGTTTTACTGTCATTGTAACAAGTACAACGAAATGAAGGTGCAGTCCTTTCAGTGCAAAAATATACACAGATTATTATTTTACTGAAGTTTTGGAGTTTGTGTTCCTCAGAATTTTGACACCAAGATTTTCAGTTTTACTGCAAATGTATATTGATGGTAAATTGGTTGGTTATTGGTTTACTTAAATTTAAATAATCCCTATCAGCGCTGAAGAAGACAGCTGACCCCTATCTCTAAAGTTCTCTTTTTTCCCCTCAATTTTAAAGTAATTATCGATGTATTTTTTTTAGCAAGCCTACTAAATGGTAGCCTAAAATCTGTCTTTCTTTTACATTTAACATTTAACCTACTGTGGGCACTGCGTTGTTTTAGGCACCAGCACCAAACAACAAAAACTTAAAAGACTAATAATTTTTTTGTGATTGTGGCCCATCTTATCAGTACAGAGAAAGTTGAAGTGGCTAGAGTTGATGGGTGCTGCTTGGACAAATTGTGTTTTTAAAGTATTGGTTTGTTTTCACATGAATCTTCTAACAAAATATCAGAGCTGAGTAACTGACTTGACTAAGTGGCTTGCTTTCTGTGGTGTCTAGTGAACTTCACCTCTCAGCACGGTTTGAGAGTACCGACCCCAATCCTCATCATTTCATATGAGACATTTCGCCTGCATGCTGAGGTTTTGCACAAGGGCAAAGTTGGACTCATCATCTGTGACGAGGTATTTTACTGCAGCCATCATAATTCAGAGCTGTCAAAGATTGGTGAAGCAGTGATTGAACAGTAGCATTTATGTGCTGTAGGGCCATCGGTTGAAGAACTCGGACAACCAAACATATCAGGTCCTGAATGCCATGAGTGCCCAGAAGAGAGTGTTGATATCAGGCACTCCCATCCAGAATGACCTGCTGGAGTACTTCAGCTTGGTGCACTTTGTTAATGCTGGAATACTTGGTAAGCAGCACCACATACACAGAACAGCTCAGACACATTGGCCTTATTTCTAATTCCTTTTACTTGTTTTTACCCTCAATGGCAGGCACAGCTCAGGAGTTTAAAAAGCGATTTGAACTTCCCATCCTCAAGGGTCGGGATGCAAATGCCAATGATAAAGACAGACAGAGTGGAGAAGAGAAGCTCAAGGAGCTGATCAGCATTGTCAACAGGTGAGCTCAAAGAACATATATATAGAGTGTGTTCTTATTTTACTTGTTGAAATCAGACTTTATTTTCTAATTTATGTACTTAATTTTCACATGTTCATACGTTTTTCTTATTTTTAATTTATATATATATATATGAATTAAAAATAAGAAAAAAGTATGAATATATATATATATATATTATTATTATTATTTTATTTTTTTTTTTGTTATATTTCAATTTAGATATTTTAATGTAAGGTTTGTAAATGTGTATACAAAGATGGGAGATTACATGTTTTTCATTGTATTTCTTACTTTGCACATGTTGTAATTGTATTCAGTTGTTCTTTATCATCTCTCTTTTATAATTGCCATATTCTGCACCAACAGGTGTTTGATAAGAAGAACATCAGATCTCCTGTCCAAGTATCTTCCTGTAAAAATTGAACAGGTTGTGTGTTGCAGGTAGGTTTCTGATGAGAAGTTTTATGAAAAGTGTCAATTTCTGTTCTGAAAATAGATTTCTGGGTGGGGTATGACCAGCTTAGATCAGCCAAATGTGCATCTTGTCCACCCAATCAAAAGCTAAAAGAATTTTTTCAGCCAAAGGAAAAAAGCTGCTGAATGTCTCTTACAGTATGCAAAGCAAGTAAAGTGCCTCTCTTTTGTGACAAACACAGTCGTCCTGCTCTGATTAAAAATCATACACTCAAACTTGTGTATGGATTGACACAAATTAGTGCTCTAAATCCACGGCCCACCAACATTTTTTGCACCATGGACCGGTTTTAAGCAAGAACTTTTTCTACGGACCAGTCATTGCACACATAACAAAATGTAGACGTTTTTTTCTCTTAAAAAATTTCATAAACAAATAAAATTACTTTTTATTTGAAACTTTTTTTTTTTTTTTTTACCAGCCCTTTGTGATATATGCATTATCAAAAAAGTTCTGAGACTGTGTCTCTAAAAATCAAAAAGCATACATTTGATAGCCATTCCCATCAAAGTAATCTCCTTGTACGTCAATAGAGCGCTCCTGGTGCATCTGCAATGCTTGTAATGCTTGTCACATAAACACGTGAAGCAGCATCTGCCATGAGTGCTGAGTCTCCTGAACTGTGTCAAAATGGTAATCCTTCAACTTGAATTTCATTTTGGGGAAGAGAAAGCCTAAAACCATGAGAGTTCACAACCACAGTAATGTCTCTGAGAACTGTCTCAGTGGCAGCCGCAGACCCACCTCTGGGCACTGGTGATAACTTACACAGAATATGAAGTTTTCTTTCTGTACCAGTTTGTAGGCTGTGGAGAAATGGGTACCTGCCAGTGGTCAAAAGAAGTACTTGTAACACAATTCCTGATGTTGACAGCACAGTGTCACGTGGTCTCCTGACTTGTGACAGTTATTGCACACACATGTGACAGGCATGCCTTGGTCCGGCTCGCCGAACATTTTGATCATACTACGTATAGACAGCTTGTATCTTATTTTATTATTTTTCCACATAAATATTTACATCTGAGTATCAAAACCAATACCAAAATGCTTTTTTTAAGCTACTTACTTGGAGTTTTTTATTTGCCAGATTTCTCAAATATTAAATATTATAATGCTGTCTCAATACAGTCATGAAAACAAGACTTTCATTTAAACTGAGCTTGACTGAAATCAGGAAATATGGCTCCAGATACATATTGCAACATTATATTCTAACTATATGATGAAAGATATGACATTTAAACATGTAGGAGCAGAATGGATGTGGCTGTGATTGATTCCCTGCAGGCTGACTCCTCTACAAACAGAGCTCTATAAGCGTTTCCTGAGGCAGGCCAAACCCATTGAGACAGTACAAGAAGGCAAAATAAGTGTCTCCTCCCTGTCTTCCATTACATCGCTCAAGAAACTGTGCAATCGTAAGTCCTATTTGAAGTAAAGTTTACTCAAATATGTGTTGTTCTGATGGAAGTAACCAAGGTTGAAGATGCTGCTTTAGTTGTCTTATACATTAATAGTATGTGTAGGCATCTTTAGAATTGTCCGCTCTTTGGTAAAAATACTAACCGCTGTCCTACGTCCTAGACCCAGCTCTCATCTATGACAAGTGTGTGGAGGGCGAGGAGGGCTTTGAGGGGGCACTGGATCTGTTTCCTCCTGGCTACTGCACCAAAGCTGTGGAGCCTCAGCTCTCCGGTAAGAACATGTCAATACATGTCAGTGCTGCTCTGATGATAGTAAAAAGTGATCTGGATGTACAACATGGAGGTTTATGCTGACTCACTTTCTACAGGATTTTTTTTTTATTGATCCATTGCAAGACAGGTATAATGACTAAGGAAGTATTTTAGACTCACAGACAAAACGTTTTCTTAGTAATACGTTGATAAATGGTTTATTACATGCGAGCAGTCTTTTTTAACTCATTTATAGCTCATCATATGTTTGGATACACAATGAAACTGAAAAAAAATGTCCAAAACAGTTGTGATTAGCAGCACAAGCCTCCTACAACTTTCCAAATAGACATTAACTGTAACATAGCAACATATCACAACCGCTTCCACATTGACAAACAGCCGGACAGCAGTCTGCTTCACAACACAGAGCCCTAGACTCTGAACAACAACCCACACTCGCTTACCTGTTCACATTGACATTCTTACCTAACTCACAAACACGTGCTTATCTTGAAAATCTGTGGTACAGTGTTTCCCTGGATGATTTGGCCTCATTTTTACATGGAATTTTAAATGAATACAGCGTCACAATTTTCAGTAATTTTGTCTTGTATACGACAATGGATGTGAAATGGACAAACCAAGAAGGTGTAAAGTTAATTTCAACTTCTGAATTTGCATTTGGTCACTGTTCATGGCAACTGTTAATGTAGAGTCAAATTGATACAAGGAATGGCCATCATTTGACTTGTGACCTATGAGAGAGAGTAAAAGCTTTAGGTGTGGTCAAATCAACAGTTTAGTGCATTCCTAAAAAGCTGAGCAACACCTACAGGCCTGGAAGACCATGTGAAACATTTAAAGTGAATGACAGGAGAACCTTCATAACATCTAACCAAATCAAGAACACTCTCAAGGAGGTAGACTAGAACTAAGAGACTACAACCCTTCATGAATGTAAATACAGAGGGTTTACCTCAGGATGCAAACTACTGGGAACACTCAGGTAAGATGGGTTATATTAGACTTTGTTAGAAAACATTCGAAACAGCCTGTCCTGTTCTGGAACAAGATTTTTTGGACAGATGAAACCCAGATGGGATTGTATCAGGATGATGAGAGGAGTATGGAAAGGAAAAAGAAGGTTTTATGATCTAAAGCAGACCACACCTGTCAAACATGGTGGAGGCAGTGTTATGGCTGCAAATAGAACTGGGTCACTGGTGTTTAGTGATGATGTGGTTGCTGATAGAAGTAGCAGGATGAATTCTGAAGTGTACAGATTTCTGTTCAGATTCAATTAGATGCTGCAGAACTGTTTGGACAATGCTTCACAGTGCAGATGGTTAATGATCCAAAACATACCACAAAGGCAAGACAAAGAAATGGAATGTTCTGCAATGGCCAAGTCAGTCTCCTGACCACAGTGCAAACGAGCTGCTTTTCACTTGCTGAAGACAAAACTAAGGGCAGAAATTTCATCAGTGGCAAATCCCTTAACATCATTGAAATGGGAATCTTTTTTTATTTTTTTTATTGACCAGGTCCTTCCATAACCCTTCATTTCTTCTTTTTGAGCCATTCTGTGGTGGATAGTGTGCTTGGGATCATTATTCTGTTAAAACGCTCACTTCTGGTTCAATTTTACCTTTCAAACACCTGGCCTTACATTATTATCAAGTACTCTTTGATATGATGCAGAATTCGTAGTTGAGTCAGTGACTGCAAGCTGCCCAGTCCATAGGCTAGTGAAGAACCTCCAAATCAGAAGAAAGCGGTATGAGCTTCTCTCTGCCTCCCATACAGGTCAGATTTGTGCTGTCTCTGCCTGTGGATGCAGCATATTGACACCAACAGATCCTTTAATGAAATTTTGAAGTTCCTGGAAGCTTCATTTGCATCCAACAGTTTGCTGGTGGACTGAAGTTGCTGGAGCAGCTAGTGCTAGACAAATTGAATCTACCCCACTTGTAAATGATTGGAGGGATTTATTCGGAGATCTCTTTAAATCCCATGCTACACCCATAGGCTTCCACAACCTTTTCTTTGAGGGACTTAAAGAGCTCTTTAGATCCTTGCACAATGACACTGCACACTTGTACACTTTATATCAAAGAGAACAGCAGAGTCTACATGATGTCTCGGGCTGTTTTTTTTTATTCATTTAAATTATGAAAATGGCAAAATGACAGTTTTCTGTCATTTGTTTGACTACACCACCTTAATCTATAGGGACTGGTTCAAATACGATCAGGTTTTTGCTTCATCAAATACACTGAGCAAGTCAACAATTTCCATGAAATACACGTATTTTTTCACATGACTGTATATGTGGCTGTTTTCTCGGACTGGCGTTTTCTGTGATGTGAAGTTTTCCATAACCTCTAAGGTGATGTTTCCGCGTTGTGCTTACTGCTTGTTTGCCCCAAAGTGAAGAAGAAAATCAGTTATCAAAGTTTTAATAATGGTTGTTGCTCTAATGTGAAATGAATAAACAGTTTCATTCCTCTATCTCTTGTGTCTTTTGTTCCAGGGAAAATGCTCGTTCTTGACTACATTCTGGCAATGACAAGAACTACAACTAGTGACAAGGTGGTGCTTGTCTCCAACTACACTCAAACGCTGGACCTCTTTGAAAAGCTGTGCAGATCTAGAAGGTGCTTTTTGGGGAAACTCACATTTAATTGTGTCTGATATATATGATTTGCCAGTTACAGTGAGCAACAACCTATTTCTAAATTGGTTTCAGATACCTCTATGTTCGACTGGATGGCACTATGTCCATCAAGAAAAGGGCTAAGATCGTGGAAAGATTCAATAGTCCATCTGTGAGTTGGAACATCAGTTTTAGACAATAAGAGTATTTAAAAAATGTTTTAACAGCATCTAAATTTATGTTTTTTTTTCAGAACCCCGAGTTTATCTTTATGCTGAGCAGCAAGGCTGGTGGATGTGGCCTCAATTTGATTGGTGCTAATCGCTTGGTGATGTTTGATCCTGACTGGAACCCAGCCAACGATGAGCAGGCAATGGCTCGGGTGTGGAGAGATGGCCAGAAGAAAAGCTGCTACATTTACAGACTGCTCTCTGTGAGTTCAACAAGGCACATACAGTTGAAACCAGAAGTTTACACACACTGTTTAAAAAGACACATGACCTTTTTTTTTTCTCTGTCTGACATGAAATCAGACTAAACTTTTCCTGTTTTAGGTCAGTTAGGATTACCAAAGTTATTTCTATTTGCTAAATGCCAGAATAATGAGAGAGAATTTTTTATTACTTTCTTCAAAGTCAGAAGTTTACATACACTAAGATTACTATGTGTTCAAACTATTTTGGAAAGCCCAGATGATGATGTCATGGCTTTCGAAGCTTTTGATAGGTTAATTGACAATATCTGAGTTGATTGGAGGGACACTGTTAGGAAAATTCTTCAGTGGATTCCTAACTGCTCCCAATCAATACACAGAGTCGTCTCTTAAGTCAAAGCAAAGTTTTACTTGCAACAAGGAGCAACGTGTACAGCACAGTCTGAACAAGTGACTAACTAAAAGCATGAAGCATTGGTTTTTATATACAGAAAACAGAAGACAACCTTCCGCAAATGTGTGCGTGTAGGCATGGTGTTTTGACTACCCGCTAAGGACGTCTTATCTCACACTAACAAGGTGAAATACAGGCAATGAACATTTACAGCATTCCCATACTTTTCCACAAAGATCATTGGATCATAACATAGAATTATGCTAACATTCCCTCCTGTTTATGATTACAATGTTCTTTGTTTTCAGATGCTTTCACATGTGAACACAAAACCCCCAAGACAGATATTAACATTAGGGGAAACCATCCACATCATCTTGCTGTCTCTCAGCGACGTCTCACGTGGAGCGTGTCAGCATCTCAGGAGGCGACATGAAAACGGAGAGAGATGAATGATTAGAGAGTGTCAAAGAGGAGAAACACAAAAATTGTATTTGTGATGAACATGTGGTTATATATGATCATCAGTATTAGACAGATAAAAGTAGAGGAAACAAAACAAATTTTCTTGAACGTGTGTACATCCCTGGATAACGTCACTCATTTATACTTCATTAGATTTTCATAAGAGAGATCATAAAAGGTTCACTTCACATTCTATTTACACTTGGTCTTCTTCATTGGATGAGTCCACAGGAGGGTCAGTGCCCTCCTGGACCAGAACATACTGTGCTACTGTGGAATGAATAACATTATTTATCATAGCTCTGAGACACAGTATGACACATGTAGTGAACAGACAAAAGAGGATCAGTACAGCTATCACTGGTATAGCAAATTTCATTACAACATGGAACCATGGTCCAGATTTTAGCCAACTCCATAGATCCCAACCAGACTCATCTGGAGAATCTCTTTTTTCCATTTGTTCTAGTATGTCTTTGAGGTGGTCATGCAGGGAGGTCAAGTTTTGAGTCGCATCTGGGATCCACGGGCAGCATGAGTCCCCAATTACTGCACAGGTTCCCCCTCGTTTGGCTAACAGCAAATCTAGTGCCATTCTATATTTGTGAAGTCATCAGTCTGAGGGCTCTCAGTTCAGGAGTCAGGGCCTGAAATCCTTCGTCGACAAGGGCTGTCAGGTTCTCTAAGTCAACTGCCAATCTATTGATTTCATTAGCATTGTTTGCAACACCATACCATGGGAAATATCCAGAACCAAGTCTGGTGGTGACGGAGATTCTGTCACGTTTGGTTCATACTGACTGGACGTGTGGATTAAGCATTTGTTCCAAATAAATTTGGACGGCAGGAATCAGATAGGCAAGGGGACAGCACCCACACCAACCTTTGGGTAGGTAGAGGTAACTACGTGTACCACATACCCAGACCATATTGGTAGGGCAGCCGTACCCTCCCTCATATGGTGCATAAACTGTCACATCCATGCCCTTCAGGTTGAGGGCAGTCAAATTGATTGTCAGCACAAACGCATTGTCACCCTCCACTAGGTATTTGCTAGACTGTTCATAGGACAGGTTATTGCTTGATCTGCAAATCTTACAGGCTGACGGGATTGTAATCTGACAATTGGTGTAATTCCCCAAATTTACATCTGAGACAGTATCTCTAAATGCAAAGAGGCATATCTATGGCTCATGACTCTCCCAGTCATAGTCACATTCGTTTTTTTAGAGAACGCACTGGACTGTGTAAAATGCATCATCGTCCAATTACTTACCCAATCATACTTCTGTCGTGGTGCTGTCATGTTGTATGTGCCATTAATAGAGTATGTTTCTCCCATGAACACACTCAATGTGGCATTTACTTGAGCGGGCCATGGTGTGAGGATGGGGCTGGTTGGAGTGGAATGAGGTAATTTAGAACACACATAACAGCTCTGATTTGTGTGTTGTCTGGAAATTTGAGCTGCTATCTGGTACCACAAATTGTCATGTTCACTCGCATGGTCTATCTCATATCTACTTGATCGATTAAGTTCCTCTTTACTGTGTATTATCAGTAACCACAGCAGTAACGCTACGACAAGGACAATGATTAAGAATGCACATGTAAAGAACTCACACTGTTGACATCGCAGCCAGTGTCGTCTCCTGTGGTCTCGCTGCCTCATCAGTTGGTAGTGGCATCCTCCCGTCCTGCAAAAGGTAGAAGTCTGTCTCCTAAGAATAGATTCATGAGTTATCAATTCTTCACTGGGTTTGAGACAACTGCACCTATTGTTCTCAGCTCCCTTTGTAGCCCAGACTTCTCTCTATGAATCTGTGAGACTGACTTATGCCCTTTTGCAGTAGGACAGATGAAGCCAGGATGTTCTTTCAGCAATTTTGATGGCAGTGGGGGTGGTTAGGAGCACTTGATAAGGTCCCTCCCACCTTGGAAATGACCAGGACTTCATTTTAATGACTTTTAGGAAGATCCAGTCACCTGCTTTCACCTCCGGCCCAGCTGGATTGTCTGGTGTTTCTGTAGGAGGTATAACAGAAGAGACAACTTCTCTTTTGGTTAGCGTGGTCCTCATATAATCTGCCAGTGTCATTTCTTCATTTTTTTCCAATATCATCAGCGAATTTGAATGTGGTATTTTATATGGTCTTCCAAGTATTATTTCAAATGGGCTTAACCCCCCTGTTGTAGGTGTAATCCTCATACTCTGTAAAGCTAATGGTAGACAATAAATCCAACTTTTTCCTGTTTCGTCCATGCATTTGCGCAGTCTGGATTTTAGTGTGCCGTTATTTCTTTCTACTAGTCCAGCTGATTGTGGGTGGTACGCACAATGATTTTTTAGGTCTATGTTTAAGCACTGTCCTACTTTAGTTATCACTTCATTTACAAAATGTGTGCCATTGTCACTGTATAATTTCTCTGGGATGCCAAACCTGGGAATTATCTCTCTTACCAGTATCTTTGCTACTGTCATAGCATCTGGTGTCGTGCATGGGTGTGCTTCGATCCATTTAGAAAATAGGTCCATTATTACAAGGCACCGCTTTTTACCTTCACATTTGTTTAATTAATAAAAATCCATGCATAGGTGTTGGAATGGGTGTTGAGGTTTGGGACATTGTCCTCTTTTTGGTCTCATAGCTCCCTTACTTGTTTTTTGCACAGATTAAACATCTAGCAGAAAACTGTTTAGACTCATTTGAAGATCCAAAAATCTTAAACTGTTGTTCTACCATCCTCACACATCCCTCCTGTTGAAACATGGCTCTGCCCATGGCTCACAGTCGCTGCATATTTGTGGAGAGAGGATGGGAGAACAAGTTTCCCTTCAGGTCACCTGAAGAGATTGTCATTATCTGGTTTGCAGTGGTTATACTCACTTGTGTTGTTTGTTTTTTGGAGCGTTATTTTGCATTTCTCTTAGCAGTTCAGTGTCTGGTGTCTCTGGTGTTAATAAACATTGTTCTGTATATGTTTCCTGAGCTGCTAATTTGGCTGTGCGGTCAGCTTTGGCATTGCCAATGGCAATGGGATCTTTGTTAGATGTGTGCGCAGCACATTTGCAGATAGCTGTTTTCTTAGGGAGTTGTACAGCAGCTAGGAGGTTCCAAATTAAACCTTGATGGTTAATTGGTTTATATGTAGACGTAATCATACCTCTCCTGTTCCACTGTGCTGCAAAAGTAGTTATTGTGGAGAAAGCATATTGGCTCTCTGTATAAATGGTGACAGTTTTCCCTGCAGCTAGTTTGCATGCAGTAGTTAATGCTATTAATTCTGCAGTTTGTGCTGACAGATGTTGAAGAAGAGGTTTCGCTTTTACTACTTCATTTTGTGTAACTACTGCATAACCTCTTGTGTTTTTGCCGTCTTTTTGTTTTGTGCAGTACCCATCTACGAAGAATTTTAAATCTGGCTTAGTCAGCGGTGTATCAGTTAGATCCGCTCTGGGTAAAACAGCTGCTTCCACCACTGTGACACAGTCATGAGGCTCCCCATCCTCAGCAGTTGGAGTGTGGCTGGGTTTAAACCTACACATCTCTCTAAGGTAATGTGTGAGGCTGAGAGGATGGTAGCCATGCATGATAAATATCTAGCTGGCGACAGGGTCGCTATTTTGGTTTGTAGGAGCAGCACCGAAACTGCGTGTGGTACCCTTACTGTGAGGTTATGGAACAGTACAATCGGTGTGGACGCCTTAATTGCCATTTTTACTGCTATCACTGCTTGTAGACACGGTGTGAGTGCTCTGAACACGCAGTCTAATTTAGAGGAGTACTAGGCTACAGGTTTCATGTTATCTCCATTGGATTGCATCAGCACTGAAGTCATATGGCCTGCTTTACAGTTTACCATTTGGATAAAAGGTTTTGTATAATTTGGAAGTTGGAGAACACCTGTTGTTGTCAATGTTTGTTTGAGTGTGGTAAAGGCCTCTTTGGCCTCAGGTGTCCACTGGACCTGATCTTTCATAGCCAATGGTTGACCAAACGCTAATTTCTGTAGTGGATCAACAATAGATGAGTAGTTGCAAATCCAATTTCTGCAGTAGCCTGTTATTCCAAGAAATGACATCACTTGGGCTTTAGTTTGTGGTCTAGGTACGCTTAGTATGGTAGATTTTCTGTCCTGT